CAAGTTACTTCACCTCCCTGAACCTCGGTTTCCTCATCTGGACAGTGGGGAGAAGAACAGAGGAAAAATACTTGGTCGTCTTGTTGAGGAAAATCTGGGTAAAATGACTAGCACACAGTAGGTGCTGGTTAAATGGTGAATGTTGTACTAAGCTGCAGAATATTCGGGAACGCCAGCTCTTCCTTTGACCCCACTTCCTGAACTCCTGTCCTTGCAGAATCTTCGTGAAGCTCTGGCCTCTGGGTCGCACGCCTGGGACACTGGCTCTGTGTGGGCAGACCATATATTAGCAGAGTGGTTCAGAGCATCTACACATTTTCGGGGATGTCTGAGTCATTCCATTTTGGGAGCTGTGCTGACTTGGTTTCAGTGGCTTTGCCTGGTGTCTAAACAAAAATTATTTAGGTGGGAACAGATTCAACTTGAGGTTTCCATGATTTTCACATGACCTTTAAATACCCCAGCTTTGCAGATTTCTTCTTTCTCTAATGAAAATCTGGATCATCTTGAAAAAAAGAAACTTAATTCGATGCTGTTGCCCTGCGGAGGCCCAGCTTCCCTGTCTCCCCTTCATTGGCCCCAACGTCTCCTGCCTCCCCCGCTGCTCCACCCACTCACCCCCGGGGGCTCCCACCCCGCTCTGTGGGAACTGCTTGCTGGGAAGTGAGCCCGCACGGCCCCCCCACCCTCCCGCCACATCCAGAGACCTTCCTTAGGCTGCTTTAGGCTGCATTTAACCCCCTTCTTGAAATATTCTCCTACCTTGGCTTTGGGACACCGGAGTCTCTCTATTTTCTTGTTTTTTTTTTTTTTTTTTAACTTCTTTGTCTTCACTCTTGATTCAGTAGCCATTCCCTGAGGTCCAGTCCCTTCTTGTCTTGCCTTTATTCTTGGGGTCTTCAGTCATCAACTCTCTGTGGATCATTCTCTCAGCTCTCTCCCCATTCCCTTCCAGGCTCTCCCTGGAGTCCTACTCTTGAAGCCCCGTGGACTCTGGGACATTTTCCCTGAGATGCCTTGAAGTTGCCTCACCCTAAGACAGACCCTACCATCTGTCCCAAAGCCCCGTCTGTCTTCTAACTTCCCTGTCCTTGTCAGAGGCTCTTAAAATCCTAGAGTCATTCTTTGCTCCCCTCTCCTTCATTTTTCCCTGCCACCGTCCCCCTTCAGCTTAACTTCTTGAGCCATCCCTCTGATCTAATCAGGGTGGCCTTGACGCTGTCCCCAAACATGTGGTCACTCCTCTGTTATGCCTGTAACGTCTGGGAGGGCGCGCTGTCACAGTCGCATTTTTCTGAAAGAGAGTCTTCGTGTTAGCCAATTACATATTCTCTCGGAGTGCAAGAATGGTGCAAAGCATCCTTTGTCCCAAGGAGTCAGCCCCCAGTGCCCCCAGACAGAGCCACAGCGGGGTGTGGCCTTATCACTGTACAGAGGACCTGTCCCTGAGGGGCAGGCGGGTGGCTTCTCCTTGGCTTCAACTTGACTAGAGATGTGCGTGGCAGGGGAAGCTCTCTCCTCTGAGTCCTGGTTCCACCCTGTAGGGACGCTGTCAGATCCTTAAGAATTTAAGTTCTCCAAATTCTTAGAGCATGTCTAAGACAAATCAGTTATTCTCTCACTTCTCTGATGCATTATTATGCTAACAAAGCCTCTGTCTTTTGACTTAACCTTGCCAAGGAGACCGTCTCCTCAAGGCTGGGAGGGAAGGAACGTTCCATCCTGCCTGGCATCTCGTATTCGTCCCCACCCGTATCTTTGCTTATGCTGGTCATCTCTGTGGGATGGTTACTTCTCTCCCATCTGTGTAGTCGCAATCTGCCTATTCTCCAAGGTAGGGAGGAGGCTTAGCCATTTTCGAGCCATTGAGTCCTTTGGTGGTCTGCTGAAACCTACAACCCCTTCTCAAAAATATGATTTTAAATACATAAAAAAATACACAGGATTATAAGGAAACTGGTTGCAATGTGGTTATTAAAATATTAAAAAATGAAATTGTGAGATAGTAATATTATACTTCTTTATAACACATTAAATAGCCACTATAATTTCAAAATAGTGATTAGTGTAAATATTTTGAGATATCCGCAATAAGATATGTGATAGGAAAATATCTGTTATACCTACTTCTGTGGTTTGTGGACTACGTTTATAATGGAAGGAGATGCTAAGCTTCAGTTAGAGATCAGTGAACACAAAGATGTAACTGTTTCCTCATCAAACTTCACAGGTCTTCCTGAATTCTGCCCACGGATTCTGAGTTCCTACTGTGGGCCCCTGTTGGGAACTTTAACTTCTGCTTCCTTCATGAAACCCTCCTGGACTACCACACTTCTATTTGGGTTTTCCCTCATGCTGAGCTCTTACAACATTCATTCATTCATGCATGCATTCCCTTAACAAACATTTATCAAGGTTGCTCATATTCATGCAGCCAGTGTACCAGGTGGTGGAGGTCCCCATAATGATGAGCAAGACCCAGTTTTACAATCAGTGGGAGAGATGAACATATTCTCATCCACTTATAACCCCAAATGTAACATGAAAAGCCTCGTGGGAGAGCTTTGAACAAAGGTCTGCAGGATCCCAGAGGAGGCAGAAGATAACAGTTCAACTTGGTGAGGAGATGGGGGAAAGAAATGCTTCAAGAGGAAAGTGGCATTTGAGTTTGGCCTTTTAGACCGAGCAGGATGTAAACAATTTCCACATGGTTTAAGTGTCTGTCTTGCCACAAAAAAATAGGGAGTTAGGGACCATTTCTTACACTTTTTTTTTGTATTTTCTAGAACCTACTACAGGACTGAGCATAGGCACTCAACACATGTTCGTTGATTAATTAGTGTTTATAAAGAATGTAAGTCTCTGTATCGGGTAGTTATTGCTGTGTAACAAAGCTCCTCAAAACCCAGTGGTTTTAAACAACAATCCGTTCTTTCTCGTGGGTCTATGGGTGGTTCTGCTGATCTGAGCAGTACTGGCTATTCTCAGTTGGCCTTTTGGTCACTGGCAAATGGGCCAGAGGCTGGCTGGTCTGGAATGGCCTTGGCTGGGTGAGTGGGCTCACCTCTGCATGCTTTTCCAAGTTGTGCTTGCATCAAGTTGCTGCTGTTCCATTGGCCAAAGCAAGTCATAGGGCCAAGACGGAGTCAGCGTAGAGGACACTGCCCAAGGGCAAGGTACAGGGAGGCATGAGAAATTTTGGCCATCAGTGTAATCAATCTACTGTGGTCTTCACAATTAAACACTCAGCCTCAAATCCTCTGTGGAATGGGACAGAGCTAAATCAATAGGTAAATGCATAAATAAAATTGTTAAAGTGTAGAGTGGCAATTTACAAATTCAACTAACGATGTGGCCTCTCCTGGGCTATATCCTAAATGTTTGAAGAGCGTTATCTACAGAGACTGGCTGGGCCATCCTTTCGTTATTATTTTTATAACCAGGATGCAAACCCATTGAATTGTCCTTTCATGTTTGATGTTCCATCAGTTAAGCGTCCCACACAATTTTTCATAGAGATGTTTTCTTTCCCCCTGAGGACATCTGCTACAATCCGGAACACACTTTCCCTGGTACTTGACTCTAAGCTGCTATAAATATCAGACGTTCTGTCAGCAGCTCAGGGTGACGGCTCAGGTTTCCTGAACCAGTATCACTCGCCCTTCTGCCTTGAGTTGTGTCTGTTAGAGGCAGCAGTAAGCAAAGTGAAGTGGAAAATACAGGTCAGAAAGCATGTTCTCTGAATAACTGAGGCAAAAGTATGTGTGTGTGTGTGTGTGTGTGTGTGTGGTAGATTTATCTGTATAATTGCTTTTAACTTTTCCTTTAACTTTTTTTTTTTTGTGGTGAGGAAGATTTTCCCTGAGCTAATATCTGTTGCCAATCTTCCTCTGTTTTTGCTTGAGGAAGATAAGCCCTGAGCTAACATCTGTGCCAGTCTTCCTCTATTTTGTATGTGGGATGCCTCCACAGTGTGGCTGGTGAGTGGAGTAGGTCCATGCCTGGGATCCAAACCCGCGTACCCATGCTGCCGAAGCGGAGTGCGTGGAACCTTAACCACTCAGCCATGGGGCAGGGCCTCATACAATTGCTTGTAATTCTCCAGGCTTTAATGTAGGTGACAGCTCAATTTGAAAAAGTACGATGGCAGTGGAGAACGTGGCGTGGGGGGTCACCCAGACCTGAGTTGTGAATCACAGCTCACCATTTATGGGCTATGTCACCTGTGGTGAGTGGCTTAAATCTCTGAGCTCCAGTTTCCCCTTATCTTAAAGTGGAACCATTTGTGTACCGACCTCTCAGTTTATGGTGAGGATTAAATGAGCCACCACACTTTATGAGATAAGAGCTCAATAAATATTCAATGTTATCTCTTACAGACTTAAAAAAAAATCTGAATGCAGTTACCAATAGTAGGAACACGGGTCTCTGTTAGTTTGGGAAAGAACACCTGTGAGGCCTGCCTTCTAATCCTGGCCTTGCCACTAGCTAGAGGCCATTTAAGCCTCAGTTTCCTCATCTGTTGGACAGAGCAATTGATATCATCTTGCATTGAATTCACAGCCTTGTTTTGACAATCAAATGGCGTGTTGCAAGTTTTTTTTTTTTTTGCAAAAGTTCTCCTCCAAAAATGATTTAAAATCCCCTTGAATACTTCTGAAGTGACGCTGCAGTTGCTGGTCCCTCCCTCGTGAGATTTGATGGATCGCCTACTCTGGGCCAGTACTCGGCGCCACCCGTTGTTAGCGGCGGTGCTGAGGAGCAATTGAAATTACAGGCGTGTTTCCTTCCAGATGTTGTTGCTACAGGCTCAAGGTGCTTTTTTAACTGGGACATCGGGCTTTCTTGAAATAGACAAGAATTCTAGAAACATGACATTGTGCCTGATTCATCGCGTGAACTTGCTGCTGACTCATTCTCTCCTTGACAGTTTCTTCAACAGTAACTTTAATTACATCATTTACTTATTGTTTCTTTCTTCATTTCTTTTCTTCCTACAGTTCTTGTTTGTCCTCTCGGTGATCGGGCTGTGTCACCTCTGAGACTTGGGTAAGCCTTCTGGACTCTAGAAATAAGAACTGAAGTTTTCATGTACCTCTATTAATATGTACACAGGGGATCTCCCACCACCACGTCTGCATACTTGGAATACATCAGCTCAAAGAATACTTTTGACTTTGCTAGTGTTTTTCAGAAGTTATCTTATTGAATGCTCTCAGCCACCCTACAAAGTAGATAGGATCTTTTAAAAAAAAAAAAATGCATGCACAGAGTTTCCAAAAGGGGCCAGAACTTGCCCAAGGTCAGTGTGGTGGATTGCAGAAGTAGTCTCAAATTTTTCTCCTTCTCTGCACCCACACCTTTTGCCATGCCATCTGCAATGTCCTCCTTCTCTGACTCTGGGCCGGGCAGTGTAACTTGCTCGGGCCAACGGGATAATGGCAAATGGGATGTGAGCAAAAGCTTGAGAAGTCCTTGTGCAGTCAGTCTGGATGCCTTCTTCCTTGTACCTCTGCCACTGCCAGGAGAACGTGCCTGTGCGGGCCTAATGGAGGATGAGAGACATGTGGAGCAGAGCGGAGCCACACCCCAACAGTCCCAGCTGAGACAGCCTAGATCACTCCACCGCCAACCCAGTGTCAGCGAGCACAGCCATAATCAGCAGAACCACCCTGCCAACCATCCCAGATGCATGAGCAATCAATGCTTATTATTGTACACCAGTGGGGTTTTGTGGTCATTTGTTTCACAGCCTTCTTGTGGCGATACGTCCCTGACAGAGTCCCTGTGCAAGAAGGAGCACACGTTTGGAACCGGGCAGGCCTGGCTTTGAATTCCAGCTCTGCTCTTTGTAGCGTGTTCCTTTTTGAGACTGAATTTCCTTATACTTAAAATGAGGTAATAATGCCTCCCTCATAGGGTTGCTGGGAAGACGAAACACAAGGCAAAATAAATCAAGCCCTTGGGTCACAGTACGGATCAGAGATGATGTCCCCAAAATGGAGGCTTCTCACAGCAATGCTCCAAAACAAACAACCGTGGGGCTAGGGGCCCAGACCGAGGGCCGTTCAAATGTGAAACCAGCTCCTCTCACAGCAGCTCAAAGGCGACCGTGTAGGCGAGACTGGCTCAGCTCTATCCTTACAATGAAACGCACCTTCCCCGCGTCCTCCATTCAACAGGACGGACACTTTAAAAAAAAATTAATGTCGCTTAAATTGAAGGGGCTGGAAAAAAAAGCCAAATCTAAGATTTTTCTTTGGGCCTGTGGTTTAGCCAAATAGATGGTAGTGAATGGGGAAAGGGGCGTGGCTCTAGCCCTGGGTGTGGGTTTGGTTCAGGTCAGGGTTGGGTGCAGTGGCCGGGCTGGTGACATTTGCTCTGACACTCGTTTGCCCTCCTGCTTGCGCGTGCAGAGCTGATGACAGATCACACAGGAAATGTGAGTAGTTCCCTGGGAGGTTTCGCTCTGTCACTGGACCTTCTTTTCTGGCCCCTTCCCCTCTGAAGGCATTGTCTTCTTGACATGACAAATGTACTCAGGTAAGCTTATGGCTAATTATCTCAAGGGGGAAGGAAAAATAAAATGAACCCAAGGCTGAAATATGGAGCAATTCAGTCTGTAAACTCTAAGAAGGTGCGAGACACTCTTTGAAAATGAAAAAAACGCATACAGATCTAAGGAAGCGGTTTCTTCCTGGACAGAATTAACTTGGGTTGTTTTCTGCAAAATCCAGCTCCTTTCCTCCCTCCCTCTTGACTCCTGACCCAGATAGCTCACTTCTCTTCATTTTCTCTGATGGCGCCAGTGGGTGACAACGGTTACATGTACCAGGCTCTGCTTCTAACTCCTTGTGTGACCTTGGATAAATCACATGGCTCTTCTGAGCTTCAGTTTCTCACCAGTAAAATGACATTTCTCTAATATTCTTTACAAAAAATTTTTCTAGGAACGGAAAACAATATTTATTACGCTCTCTTACAGCTCCATGGGTTGATTGGGCTCAGGTGGGAGGTTCATTCTTGGGATGTCCCATATGATGCGTCAGACACTGGCTGGGCCTGGAGTCATCTGAAGGCTCGATGGGGCCAGATGTCCAAGATGACCCGCGCTCATGGCTGGCAGTTGATGCTGTCAGCTGGGAACTCAGCTGCGACTGTCAGATGGAGCCCCTGGACGTGGCTTTTCCATGTGCCTTGGGCTTCTCACACTGTGGTGTCTGGGTTCGCAGAGGGAGCATCCAAGAGGGGCTGTTCCAAGACACCCAGGGGGAAGCTGTGAGGCTTCCTATGACCTAGACTTGCAGGTGCCGGGACATCACTCCTGCTACGTTATTAGGTTTCTTTGCTGCTAAAATTTAATGACTTCACAACCTGGATCCTCTGTCTTCTGCAGCTGAATCAGATGCAAGTTTATGAAGCTGAGCAGAGAGCCAGCTGGGCCTGGGCACAGACGGGGCTGTGGCTCAGACTGAAGACATGAAAATATGATGGATGCATCATCCTAATTATCTGGGAAGGGAGCTCAGAGTGGATTATTATCCACCGGGGCCTGCTGTGTTCTTTCTCTACCCACCCTGGGGCTCTGAGTCTCTGCCCCTCACGCCACCCTGCCGTGCTCCCCGCTGAAACAATTATGACGTCAGGCCTACGTTAGGCATGTGAGGGCGAGAAAGAGAAGATACAGTGCCTGCTTTTTATCTACGTGAGAAGACAAGCTCTGGGGAGAGAAGAAGACGCTATCATGACAATGAGTCATGAGGGGAAGAGCGAGTCTCCCTGTAGGAGGTGACCCTTGATCTGAATCTTGAAAGGCGAGTGGGGAAGAACTGGAAAGATGCTTCAGGAAGAGGGACCTGGATGAGGAAAGCAGGAAGCGTGGTGTGGCAGGGAACAGCACCCCAGCTGCAGCGTGAAGAGAGAGGGGCAGATGGTGGGAGATGGGGCAGGAGATGCAGGCAGCGCCCAGGGTCATGCAGGCAACAATATCACCATTTTCCTAGACAAGGGCACAGAAGCTTGGCAAGATAAAGGGACTTGACGAAGGTCACACAGCTTCTAAGGGACCAAGTCAGGATTTGAACCCAGGACTACCTGACTTCTGGGTCCCGTGCCTTTCCCACCATAGCCCGCTGTGATCCAACTTCCGCTGCTGCCACTGGCTTTCCCAGAGCTCTCCCTCGCTTCTCCGAGGCTCCTGGCAGACTAAGGGTGTTTCTTTTCCGCACCATTTATTGTAATGACTTCAATTAAACCATCTTGTGCTGGATCAGTGAGCAGCCCTAGGGAATCGACGAGCAGGGCTGGCGACCGGGGAAGCACAGTCTCCTCCCCTTGTCCCTGCCAATCCCAGGGCTGAGCTCCTGCCCCCATGCTCGGGGATGACTCAAGAGAGGAAAATGGGGGCCAGGGGGCAGACAGCAGGGCACAAAGAGACAAGGCAGTGGGTGTCTATTACCTTCTGGACACACAGGGTGCATGGCCAGCCCTTGGGTGCTCATGCCCCCTGGCACTGCCCGCTGCTGCCCTTGCTCTGCCGCCTGCCTCTGGTTCATTTGGGTTTGCAGCTGAAGCTCCAGGACAGTGGGCCCTCTCCACTTGGCTGCCTTCAGTGCAGGCCCAGTGTGCGATGAACCTTGACCCCAAGGGAGAGGGGCCAATGGCCCTGTACTCACTTGCTACCTGACCTTGGGTGAATTGCCTCCACTCTCTGAGGCCTCTTCTGGGGTAAACAATGGGGTGGAAATGGAGATCCACCAGGCTCTTCTTTGATTTTGGTCTCCCTTCTTTGCGCTGCTCTGTGGCTCGGGAGGCTGAGCTCTGTGAAGTGAGTCAATGGCGCCCTTCCCAGTTGCCTCCGGTTTGCTTTGGCCTATGGGGGACACTGGCAGGAAGGTGGGAGGAGAGCGGGCTGGAGTATTTCTTCCCTGCAACCTCTCTGCTTTGTGGCAGGGGCTGTGGAAGTGCCCCTGCGCTTGGCCACAGGTCCTGCCAAGTGGTGCCCCCCCCGCCCCCCCCCCATGGGGCTCCAGTAACACGCCTTCCCGCCTTGACCCTTTAGGCCTGGGGGGTGGCTTCCAGCTGTTTGTCGTCTCGGGGTTTTTCAAGCGGCCCTTCTTGGTTTCTTTATTTCTGCCCATCTTGCTGGCAATGGTCCCTCCTCATTCAAGTCTCTTTAGTTGAGCCATCTGACTGGCGTTCTGTTTCCTGCTGGGACATTGAGGCATCCTCTTGAAGGCTCCTTCCGACTCCACAATCTTAGGAGTTTGTGACGGGGAAGATGCAAGGAACTGGCCAGCTCTCAGGGCCCCACAGCTCGGGTTATCCTGCAACAGGCAGAGTCCAGGCCGAGGGTCCCAGCTTCTCGGCAGCTTCTCCTTCTCTTCCTCTAGTTGTCTGTTCCCACAGCCGTAGCTCAGATCCCCAGCATTTGTTTATTATTTTAACCCAACGTTATTGAGGTGTAACCTACATCCAGCAGACCGCATCCATGAAAGTACAATCAGATGAGAGCCCATTGTTTTTGCCCAGGTCTGTTGTAACAGCTTTTTAATTAGTCACCAGCCTTCATTCTCATCTCTGCAAGTTCACATCCTCACATAGGATCATGTCACTCTCCTGCTCAGAAACTTGGACTGGCCCTCCTGTGCCTTGAGTCAAAGCCCAAATTCCTTACAGTAACAGATGAAGCCTTCGTGAGCTGGACTCGAATGCTCCAGGCTCAGCCGCCACCACTTCCCACGGATGCTCCAGCCATGAAGAACTGTATGCATCACTTCCTCCGAGCTCCCCGCCTTTGCACGACCTGTTCCCAGACCTGGAGTACCCTGCATCCTCAGGTCGTTGACCCTCAGCATCCCTCTGTGCCTCCTGAATTCCTCTTTGCCCTTGAGCGTCAAGCTGAAGCATGATCCCCCCAGGAGGTCTCCCCTGATGGTGCCCACACTGAACAGAACCCCTCCTCTGTGCTCCCCCAGCACATCGTGGCTATTTCTGTTACTACACTTATCCTGAACCATAAACAATGGCTGTCTCTTACGAGAGTGTGAGCAGCGTGAGGTTAGAGTCTGTCTTTCATCTCTGTACCCCTGGCCACTAACACTCTGCATGGCACATCATCCACCATTCATTCATCCATTCCACCAATATTTACTGAACGCCTACTATACACCAAGCACATCAAGCACGCGGGCTAAGGGATTGTACAAGACAGGCGTTCTAGTTACTCAGCTGCTGTCTCCCAGCTCCAAAACCACCTTTTACATTCTGCTTTGCGAAGCTGGTGGGGAGGATGCTGCAAACTCTGGTGCTCTGTTGTCATGGGACTTCCTGTTTCTGCCAGCAGGGGCACTAGAGGGAGACCGCAGGGAGGAAGTAGGGACCTGTTCCTTCCTTTTTGCTAGCTGCATCCGGTCAGGGTTGCCCCATCGACGGCCCCGTCCCTAGTAGCAGCAGCTGGTTCTGGCCTCCAGTTCCTTTCCTCGCTCCCAGAACAGCCTCCCGCGCCTCCTCAGAGGTGAGCGGCAGTGGGATGGTGCCCTGCCAGGGCTGGGTCCCAGCTCTGTGGGCTCCTCCTCCGAGTTCCTAGATTGTCACAACCCCACTGCCTCCTGTGGTGATACCCTCTTAATCCAGTGCTCCCTCTTAAATTCTTCTCTCCTTAGAATATGTTTTAAACTAACTCCTTTTATTAAATTATCACTGTTGAAACGCCCAGCGTGATTCCTGTTTTCCTAAGTGGCCCCTGCCTGATGCAATGGGGAAGGCCCCTGTCAAGTTCAGGTGGGGAAGGAGAGACACCAAGCCAATAAAAAGGCCCGTAGAAAATGCGTTTGGATGAAAAATAAGACAGGAGAACGGGTAGAGCCTCGGCCACTCCAGATTGGGTAGTCGGGGAAGGTCTCTCCAAGAAGGTGATGTTTAAGCAGAGAAAGAAATGGAAGTGTCCACTTATGCAAAGAGCTGGGGTAGAATGTGCCAGGGAACGGGCCAGCCAGCGCAAAGGCCTTCAGAGGGAGCGGGCCTGTGTTCAAGGTCAGAGGGAACTGGAGGGGAGCGGCAGACCTGCCGCAGAGGGTGTGGCTGAGGAAGGTGGGGATCAGAGCACAGGGGCCGCCACAGCCAGAGGGTAGCCTTTTTTTTTTTTTTTTTTTTAAATTCTGAATGTGTTGGAAAGCCTTGGGAGGGTTTTAAAACACAGGAAGTGACAAGATCTGACTTAGAATTCAAAAAGATCTCGCTGGCCGCCGAAGAGGGGACAGTCCTATGGTGACAGAGCAGAAGTTCTGTTCTCCCCAGAGCAGAAGCTGGCACCTTTCAAGGATGAGGAAACTGAGCCCCAGAGAGCTTACAGGACTTGTCCTGGGTCACCCGGTTTTGGACGTCAGGTTCCCAGATCAGTGCTCTTCATGGCTCGCTCCAGGCAAATCTTCTGGGCCTAGTCTGGGAAGAGGACAAAGCCCTTGGGCGGGCAAACACATGCTCTTGACAATGTTCCTACTTTGTGAAAAGGTGGGTGGTGCCCAACTCATAGTTTATGGGGGTGGTGCCATCTTGGTCAGTCATAATAAGAGATGGGGAAGCCTAGAAAGAAAACAAGGCTCCCTAGGGATTTCTGGAGATGTTGGCATGAATGAGTAATCCTAAAGCTTACAGTATTCTTCCTTCCTCCTCCAGTCCAGCAACAAATCCTTTTGACTCGCCTTCCTGACTCTGACCACTTTTCGCCAGGGCTGCCAGGAAGCACACCTTCAGGAAGCACCCTTACCATTCTGTCCCAAAGGGCACCATCCACATAGACTATCACGTGAATATAACTCCTCCAGGAGTTGTGCAGAGGTTCTGCTTGTCTCCATGCCCACTGCTGTCGTGCTGGTCCAGCCACCATCCTGTCTTTCACCTGCATTATGGCAGCCGAGACCCAGGTCTTATGCAAGGGAAGACCCGGGCCAGGAGGGGCCTCAGAGGTAGAGTCAAGGATGGCTCAGGGTTGGAGGTCTACCTTAAACAGGCCGTAGGGGCATTCCGGGTAGAAGGAAGGGGTCTCTTTTTAGGAGATGGGAGTAAGAGAAAAATACTTCTCTATGCTTCAGGCAATAGGTCTCTGCTTTATTGAAAGAATGCTTCCTCCTGTGAATAATCTAATCTGGCATTTTGGAGGATGGGAGGAAATGGCTGATGGGTCCCGGGAGTGCTAGTGAGGTGAATTCAGCTGTTAGCATTTTTCTCCAAGGCTTGGAAAAAGGAGGAGGATGGAAGACTCTGGATGAAGCTGAGATGTCCTTCCATGCTCAGGGGCCTGAGAGGCATGGGCCTCAGGCCCCCTTCTAAACTGGCACCGTTTTCTGATTGGCTGTCTCTGCCTGCCTCAGTTTACACCTCTTCCAGATTGGCTACCTTCTTCCGCTCACATCAGATCCCTGTTCCCACCCAGCCAGGCCTCTCACTGCCGCAGTGTCACTTGGGATTGGCTGGGTTCTGAAAGGCCTGGTCGGCTTGCCTCTTGCCACCATCAGATTCTTCCTCATTAAACAAATGAATCACAATCCTAATTAATTTGAGCAACAGAATTTATGTAACTACTCCCAGCAGGATGTCTGCTCTCGGTCGGCAGCGAGATTAATTCCTCTCTCCGGGAAATTCCAGCCGCGCTGGTCAATAAACCTTAATGATGACTGAAATTTCCCATCTGCCTCTGCTCTGGGCAGGTAACCTCTGCTAACCAGACACCCAGTTGGCTTGATGCGCTACCCCAGACACCCAGAGGACGAGGGCAGCCTAGATGCGTTCCGAGCCGCGGAGAGCGCACAGTGGGTGTTCAATTAAGGGCAGGGACTGCCCGTTCTGGGGACGTTCTGAATCGCTTGAAGCTCACAGGAGGTGTTCAATTTCAATTTCTGGAAGGACTAAAAGAGACCGTGTGTTGCTCAGATCCCGATAAACTGTCTCAAGCTCCTGAACTGCAATTAAACCCCTCGGCTCCCTCCATCCTTTACTCCCACGACTTCCCACGGCCACACCGATGCGGTCTTTTCCCTATTCTGAACTTTCTGGACGAAGACTTGGCTCTTGACGTTCCCTGCCCTTGAACCGTCCGGCTCTCTTTCCAAAACAGGCCCCACGCCGGCTGCCTGGGAGGGAAGGGTAGCGAAGTGGAAAGTATTCTGGAATTAGTTCTAATTCTGGCTCTGCCACTCGCTCATTGTACCTCACCTCTCTGTTCTTAACCTTTCCCTCATATGTAAATCCACACGAGGTTTTTAGGAAAACGAAATAAGCAAACCTGGTGAGAATGTATCGCACGGTGAGTGGCTCATTTAATTAGCGACTGGCAGTGTTTTAGGCCATGGGGATACAGTGGCGCTTAAGCAACAAGATTCCTGCTCCCCAAGAGTCAATTTCTAGGAGGCAATAAACAGTAAAGCAAATATATAATTTTAGTTAGGGATTGACGCTCAGAGAAAATAGGGAAAATGTCACAAAAGTGAGCGGAGTGAGGAACTCTGAGGAGATGCCATTTGTGTTGAGACCCAAATGACAGGAAGGAACAAGCTACACGAAGATCTGGGGGCACGGCATTCCAGAAAGAGGCTTGAAAAGGAATTGCAAAGGCCCTGTGGTGCGAGTGAGCTTTGCATGATGGCTGGGCTAAGATTCCATAGGGTTGAATAATTTGTCAGGGTTGGGACTTCAACCCAGGTCTTTGGTCCTTAAGTATGGAGTGCTTGTCATCACAGAGAAGGTGGAAGAAAGGAAAAATGAGTGGAGATGGGGTCAGGGTGGAACGCCCTGCCTTGTCCTCCATTGGATCTAAATCTACCGGTGTCTTCCCAACACTTTGCAGGGCTGTGGGCTCCTGGCCCCCATTAGGGTCTTCTAAGTCCACTGGCCCAAGCTGTCATGTCAGGGATCACCAGCCCTAACAGCTCCCTCAATCGGTCACTTCCAATTCCTTCTTCATTTAAACAGGGAAGAATCAACTACTTTGACAATTTGGAATTTTCTTTTCTGATTATAATACGAATTCACTGTGGAAAATAAAAAACGTATAACAAAATACAAATCAGCCATAATTCCAACCTCTTCTGGAATTGTTGGTGTTTATGTGTCTTTAGAAGCTTATGAACTCACTGCACATACAGGTTTGGAATATGCTTTTTTCCTCCTGTCATGAAAAATGTCTTCAAATGCATTTTTTTTTTTTAAAGATTTTATTTTTTCCTTTTTCTCCCCAAAGCCCCCTGGCACATAGTTGTGTATTCTTCATTGTGGGTTCTTCTAGTTGTGGCATGTGGGACGCCGCCTCAGCGTGGTCCGATGAGCAGTGCCATGTCTGCGCCCAGGATTCGAACTAACGAAACACTGGGCCGCCTGCAGCGGAGCGCGCGAACTTAACCACTCGGCCACGGGGCCAGCCCCTTCAAATGCATTTTTAACAGCTGCATAATAGTTGAGTACATGGACGAACCGAAATGTAACTATTTTAGGGTTTTTATTATTATACACAAAGATCTTTCTTACCTGTAAACCTTTGTTATATGATGTCCTAATAGAGTAGGGGCAAAGCCCCCCCACTCGAGTGCTGTGTTCTGTGCTCAGGGAAGCCATTTTCTTAGTTGGGGGAGCAGGGGTATTTGTGCTCCCAAACACTCTACCCATAAGTGTGTAGCGTGGTTCATGGTCGCTCTCCACTGAGAAATGGACATTGTTACACTTTCCCCAGCCTTTCCTTCCTTCTCAGCTTCTCTCTATCATTTTGGTCCCAGGAAAGATAGAAAGGGGAAAAGCAGGAGAAAGAAGGGGGGATTTGATTTAATGTTGCATTTTGAAAAAATATTTAGACACATGAATACTATTTAACTCGCTCTCTCTATTTTTTCTTCTTTTTGCTGGGAAAGATTTGCCCTGAGCTAACATCTGTTGGCAATCTTCCTCTCTCTTTTTTCCCCCCTCCCCAAAGCCCCAGTACATAGTTGTAAGTTCTATGTGAGCCACCACCACAGCATGGCTACTGACAGACGAGTGGTGTGATTCTGCACCTGGGATCTGAATCCAGGCTGCTGAAGTGGAGCGTGCTGAACTTAACCGCCAAGCCATCAGGGCTCGCTCAACAATATTTTTATTACATAATAAATTGGCAGGAAAGCGAGGCCCACAGGTTAGGGCCTGGCCTTAGTATGCCAGAGTCTAAGGTGACTATGTTTTGTTCTGTAGGGGCCTGCCATGGGGGCTGCAGGAGAGGTAGGAGTCAGCAGTTCTAATCACTGAGGTATTGGGTTAGAGTAGGGGGTACCCATCTGTTGTAGGCAGGGAAAACAAACCTGGTCCCAAGCGGGTGTGTGAGAGAGCATCTGAGGACCTGGGGGGAGGGGCAACATTCACTCCCGCTGGGGCAGGGAGGGTGGGTCTGCCTCCTAAGGTGGGTGCTCAGGTTAAGGCTCCTCCTTTGGACTACCACCATCCCCACATCTTCTCCAGCTTCCTGTTTGGCCTCAGAAAAAAAAAGGAAAAAAAAATCAAACCAGAGAGAAAGACACAAGCAAAGAGACAATAAGGAGAACACAATGAAAGTCAGAAAAATGAGAGACGGAAAAAACGTGGCATGGGGGAGGTGGACGGTTTGAGAAGTAGAAAGCTTTTTGATAGAAGCTGAAGCAGCAAGAGAGAATTTGGGTCTGGACAAGCTTATTACATCTCTGCAGCTGACAACCTCTAATTCACAAGGACCCACGTCAAGGACTGGGATACCCCATGGGTCAGAGAAATGGCTTTGCCAACTAGACTCACTACACACCACCCTTCTAAACTAATTTGGTGCCCTCTTGCTAAAAAGCAATTTCTCAAACTTTCTGGAAGCTGTTTATTTCTCAGTGGAGCAAACAATGGAGAGCTTTACCAGGGAAGAGCCCTTCCCCAGCATGGCCGAAGGCGCCCTGAATTTCTGGGGCAGGGAGCGAAGAGTGGAAATGGGAGTGGCCTGGGCTGGAGTCAACAGGTGGGAGGAGGGAAGGGCGGTGGAGAAGAATATGGGGAAAAGAAAAGGAGAGAGCAGGGGTCCCACTTTCCGTACCCACGCTCACCTCTTGCTGCCAAACAGTTATCCTGTCTTCCCTCCAGGCAGCAGGAAGGGGCGTTCTGGTATCCACTGGAAAACCCAATGGTCATTGTCAGCTTCTGTAGATGGTGCTGGTCGAGAAAACAGGGAAGATGGCCAATGCAGGGGGCTCACTCATACTGTGAATACAGATCCTTGTTCGACTTGGCGAGACGGAACTTCTCTAAAGGACCTTTTGTAGGAAACGACAGGAAAGACAAGACAACCCATAAAGGGGGTTAGAGGAGACTCTTCAATCCCCAGCTCCCCGTCACCACCAACCCTGTCTGAGCAGACCCTGGACTAGAACGCATCCTCCATTCCTTTCGAGCCTCCCCTTGGCTCTGGATCCTGGGAGCGCTTCTCCACCTCCCACCCATCGCCTTCCCTTATGTTCACAATCAACTGGGCTGTGGTTAAGTTGGGTTCTCCCTGTCCTGGCATGGTGTCTTCCAAAATATCAGAAAGGAAAGGGGTTTGAGAGATCCTGGGGAATCAACCTCCTCCTTTTGAAACAGCAACTGAGGCCCGGGATGGCTGGGGTCACTGTGTGACCTTGGGGATGGCAGAGATGGGGCAGCATCCAGCCAGGCAGCCTTCCTAACACTGTCACTATTGCTAAACTCCAACATTTAGTTGGTGCTAAGCCTTTGTTCTTTCCTCTGAAGGCCCTAACTGAGGTGCAGGTTCAGGCTGACTTGACTGTCCCCTCCCCTCGTCCACCTGCCCCCGCCGTACAGGTCCCAGCAGTGAGAGAAGCAGGTGCGCAGAACAGAGGCATCTCCGCAGGCTCAAATAGCCCGGGAACTGTGGGCCTGCCCTCCAACCTCTATTTCCTGTGAGGCGGTGCTTCTCATTGGCCCAACAGAAGTGATTGACAGCTCCTTAACCCAGTGAATGATGAGTCTTGGAAGGGCAGCGGCCGGTTACCAGCCAGTTCTCTCGTCGCGAGACCCTGGGCTGACGGTTTGGGCAGTATCAGTTCAGCCCTTTTTCGTAGTCTGCATCCAGAGTCATCTTAGCAAAGGGTGAAAGGCAGTTTTCTCCTTCAGAGAAGGAAGGCAACTGGGGGTCTAAAAGTAGGAAAGGAAGCCTCCAAAAGAATATGAGACTGTCGTACTGAATGAGTCCCTAAATAAAGGGGGCTTGCTTTGTTAAGAAGTTGGTGGGAAAGTGGGTGGGCGGGCGGGAGGGAGGAAAGTGGCTGGGGGGGGGGGGGGGGGTGGGGATGGGGCTGGAGTGTAAGGTGTTTATTGCAGGTTTGTAGACTGTGGGAAATGCGGAGGCTGTTCCTGGGGTCTGGATAGGGTCTGGGACTTGGGTGAAATGAAGGGGTCACTGGTGGGGTCTTAAAGGCTCAGGGGCTAGGGACCAGGCTGGCAGGCAGGGGGCAGCCGTTGTGGTCTTCTTGCCCATGACAATGGTCTTTTTGCAAAGGCCTGGAAGTAAGAGCTGGCTGGGATGGTGAAAGGGGAAGCCTGGACCACAAAATGGTTCCTTAGAGTATGCAAGGATGGTTGGAGCACAGAGATGGAGTGGCCCATCCTTTTAGGGTACAGCTGTGGAGGATGTGGCCTCTGGAAGAATGGCGGTGGGTCGGCACACCACTTTTTAGAAGAGAGGGTCAGAGATGGAGAGAGATGAGACAGGGGGTTAAGAGATGGAAAATATGACAAAGGAAAGAGAGTATGGTAGGGCCTTTGAGCTGGAGTCCCAGAAAAGCTGAGCAAGTCTGTGCTAGGCACATAGTTGTCACTCAGTAAGTGTTAGCTATCATTATTGCTCCTCTGGGAGGCATGGCGGAAGGGCTGCTCGAGTCCAGTAGTGAAAATGGAATAGGAACTGAGTCCAGAAGTACAAAGGAGAGCCAGGAAAACAGGCCGTTCCAGCTGCCTTCTCTGTCTCCCCAGTGCTTATGAGAAGTGCAGAAGCCACCTCTCCATTAGGGGAGGGGTGGGGAGGGGAGGTTGGAACTAAAGAGCAAGGGTGTTGGTATCTGCTGGAGCTGGGAGCCCAAGGGTGGGAAGAAGGAATGAGGAGAGGTTGTCCTTCCCAAATCTATCTTAAATGGGGCCTGTTCGAAGGGAGGTGAGAAAGGGAGGTACGGATGATAAGGAGAATGGGATGTGGTGTGGGCAGGCCCTGGGTGAGCTGTGTCACCTTATGCACAACAGTTGTGGTTGCTGGGCTTGGGTTGTGGGGAGGAGCCCATCGAGTTGTCTCTCCTGGGAGAGGGATTGGTGGTAAGATTCAAGGCTCCACTGGAAATTCCCATTGTTACAAGTGTCAACTTTCTCACGGACCACTGGTCTTTAAGGGCTGGGCACAAAAGACTCCCCGAAGAGGCCCTGAGACAAGGAACCCATTTTCTACTTGTCTGGGAGGGAGTGTATCAATGGAGGCTCCTGAATACTCTGGAGAGCGCATAGTACAGTTGGTAAAGGCTCTGAGCAGAGAAAAGGAAGCTCCCTGTGTCGTCTTCCTTTTCCCTTGGCCTTTCCTATCCTCACTAGTTTCTGTGTTCCCCTTTATCAAGTCCTTGAGTCAGAGGCCTTTGCTGGGGGGTGCAGAGTGGGCAGTGCCGAGGTAGCTAAGAGAAGGTGATGTTGAAGGAAAAACAAAGAATACTTGGGAGTCCCCAAATTACTCTTAATATGGATCTTTTGAGAGGTGGGAACCAACAGGCCCGCAGTTGAAGTGCAAGGCCACCTGGACTAGCTGACCCAAGCGAAGGGGCTCTGGCGCGTAGTGCATGGGGGAGAAAAGGGTAGGAGGGAGATGGTAGGCCAGAGAGACAGGAGGAGATAGAAGAAGACAAGGATGAGAAGGACCGAGGCAAGATGGAGACCGATGACAACAGGTGCTGCAGCCCGACTGAGAGAGCTAGAGAGACAGCGCTGAAATGAGCTGCTTATCTTAGTCGCCAAGTTTTCACGGTCTTTTTCTATTTCTGTTTTCACTGAATATGGTTCTACCAATTTACAAAAGAAATTTATAGGGTTCTCAGAGTCTTCCAAGATTCCAGAAAGCATTGCGTTCACTAACTTATTTACTAACATAACCATTTTTACATAAACCGTTCAGAATCTTGCTGATGCTCGCAGGCAGCTCCTGATGATCTTGTCATGGGGTTAAGATCTGGGTGGGACAAATGAGATAGGCAAGGGGTACTCATGAGAGCCGAATCTCGGCCGTCAGCTTCTGGAAGCTGCGCTCATTTTTTTACCTCCTTGGATCGAGGGCTACAAGAATTTGCAGTGGAATGAGCTTCCTTGGAGCGGCCATGCTTATCATGGGGGGAGTGGCAAGACAGTGGCGTCGCAGCTGGGGCACTAAGGCAGTGATAATAGCATCACGAGAGGGGCTGTTGACCCTGGTGTGGAGGGTTTGGAGGAACACCATGGTGGTGGGTGAGCATTAGGCTGGCCCTTGATGAAGGCTAGTTTCTGATGATCTTGGATAGTTTGCCCACAGTCAGTGACTAGAAATGCTTCTGATGAGCTGAGTAGGGAGCCAGGCGAGAGGCTGAGGGATGAGGGTGAGCAGGGCCTGGGCGAAGACACAGCCACTGAACAGGGCCCTGAAGCTGACTGTTGCTGGTCGGGGAAGGTACTGTCCCCTCCCCCAGAGGGAAGCCAGATAGGTCAGAGAGAGTCACGATTGAGCCAGAGACAGAGAAGAGGAAATAGAGGGGAGAGGACACACAAAGATGCTCAAGAATACTGGCAGAGAGGGGGTCCCATCCAGCTGGCTCTTCTTCAGGTCATTCAGGGAGGTCTGTTTCTGCCCTCCTCCTGGGGTGGTCCTGATACAACACCAAGGATGTTTAGAATGGGCCCAGGGTCTTCTGGGGCTTCAGAAAATGGCCTTCCTCCTCGACAGGACTCGCTTCAGCTAAACCGTCTGGATGTATGGGAAGTATGTACACAGCGGAAACTGGGTTTTCGATGTGGGGGGGCAAATGCTTTCCCTGCGCAGTGGCCTTGTCTTGGTGACTCTGTATGTGAGAAATGTCCGGGGGAGGCCGATGATGGGCTGGCCGGGAGCTAACTCCCTATCGCAAGTATCTTACCCGAGGTCTCCCCTCCCGCAGGCAGGAAGCAGTGATGTGGCCCGATGGTCACAAGAAGATTTTGAGGCCTTGAGGGGGAAGTCAGATAAGCAGAGAGGACTTATTTCTGAAGGGACAAACACAGCCTGTGGCAGGAGGGCAGGTCACACACAACTCACCTGCCTTCCTCTATCCCTCCCAGGCCATGTCCTGCCGCTGGCCTGTCTGTGAGATCTGACTTCTTGCCCTTCTTAGCCTTCTAGGCCTGTCAACTGTCATGTGTCTTACAGTAAAAAGAGGAGCAGAGAGTGAGGGAGGGGTGAAAAGAGCAAGAGAGACAGGGATGGGGAAGAGAGTGAGTCAGGACGATAACGTACACAGAGATGGAAAGATACACTGAAACAGGAACAGATCCTGTGTCTCTTCTGCTGCTTTTCATCATAGTGATTATGCTCACTCTCGAGGGCTGTCTACCTCCTTCATGAAGAATTGAGAGCCCTCCGCTCCAACCTGAGCTAAACTTGCTTCCTAAACTTGTGTTGGGTGTCTCTACTTGCTAGTAATGGTTTCTTAACTTAGGAGGAGTTGAAGAGATTCAGAGACTGGTTTGCACTAGTTTCCAAGCTATCAAGAGCATTTCTGAGAGACGAACCTCGCCAGCTGCCCCCTTTCCCTTCCACATGGGCAAATACAGGGAAAGACAGGATGGGGGATAAAATGCAGAGTTAGGAGGCAGGAAGGAGTTGTGAGTCCTGATCCCCTAAATCTGCTGAAAAGAGGTGAGAAGAGGAGAAGAGTGCTGAGGGAGGTGGACAGGCCTGGATGGAAGAGGTGATGCAAATCAAATGGGAATGCCACGAGCTTGAGGTCAAAGGGCTGTCCCGCTATTGCTCCATTCTTTGAGTAGTTGCATTTTGAAATCATTTAAGTCTGCCTGTAGGCCACAAGAAATAGAGATGGGTGTCCCTGAATTCTTTCTTCTACTTGTGACATAATTGGAGCTCGATGCTTTTATCATTCAGGAGTGGTGTTTTGGGTGAACTGTTTCTATTTGAGGATGGGAGGGTACCATATATTAATATATTAATATTGCAAGATTCAAAGGAAAAAAAAATTCCCCGTCCTTGGAAGGCATTTTCTTACTATTGTCCTTCTGTGGCCCCAGCTCTCCTTTCTTCCTCTAAAGGCCCTCTTAGGAGAAGTGTAGACAGGGCAGGAGAGAGGACTCAAGACTCTGCCTTATCTATTGGCGGCAGCATAATTGCGGCTGTGGAAGTGAGCTGAGCCCTTCACCAGAGCAGCCTGTGACAAGACCGGAATTTTTCAAAAGAATTTTTAGAAGGAAACAAAAAATTAAAAAAAAAAAGAAAATATGAAAGATGGGAGCCGGGAGAGCTTTTGACTGGTTTGTAACGCGCTGTAATGCTAAGCTTTGCTGTTAGCTCTGTGGTGCTATTGGACTGCAAACCCCTTCTTGGCTTGGTCTCCCGGAAAATGGATTCTTCCCGGACCCCAGGGTTGGCTCCCCCACTGGAGTGTCTCCTTGGCCCTTCTTGAGTGGGACAGGCCTTTCCCAGCCTGTCCAGAAAGCTCGTCTTTATAGGTTTTACTTCCTGTCTCCTTCATACTCTGGATGATCCCTCTGTTGCGGGGTCCTGTGCTCTAGCCTAGACTTCTCTTCATTGACTGGTTGGGGCACAGAGCGCTGTGGTCCTCTAGTTGTAACCTGCGTAGGGTTGGGAGTGGGGAGGCCGTGAGGCTGTACGGGGATAGGCAGAGCAGAGTGGTGGGGTCATTAGCAGAGGAAAGCAAATGCCGCCCAGAGCTTAGTTTTCCATCTTTGTTTCCTTTCTGAAGACTCCTAAGACCCCCACTAGGCACACATTCCCATCCTTCCAATGGTGACAGACTGCAGTCTT